TCCTCACAACATGATGGCCTCCAGCTAAATCACTCGCAGCAGCCGCTCCCACAGCCTCTCTCTCCATCGCCATCTCCAGGGCCTCTTGCAGGGTACAGGGGTGCGCCAGCTGCGTCTGAATCCGCAGCTGACTAGGAGTTATAGCCCGGATGAACTGATCTCTGGCCAGCTCGCTCTGCACCTCATCCGGCATGTGAGCATATGCTCTCCTGGTCAGGGTCTCAATGTCATTAGCCAGTGCACGAAGTGGCTCACCATCACGCCTCTGCCTGTTTGCCAGCTCGGAACGCAGAACACTGGGCCGGTTACATTGTCCAAAACATCGCTGGAGGGCCCCAACTAGAGCCCCATAGTCACCTCTTTCAGCCAGGCTAATCAGCAGCAAGCATGTTAAAGCTTCATCAGTAAGACACATGGCCAGCTGAAGTGCTTTAACGTCCTCTGACCAGCCACCTGATCGAGCCAACAGTTTCAATTGTGCATGGAAAGCCTCCCAGTCAGCTTTACCATTATATTTCGGCATCTTCACCTGGGGCTGGTTGCACAGAGCACCGCCATCGGGCCCCGTTTTTCCAAAACCAGCATCTGCAGCTAGGCTCCTGGCCATCTGTTTCAGGCGGGCTACGTGTTCTGGAGACTGGTCAAACCCTCTCTCATGCCCCGGCGTCGCCGCATAACCACCATCCTGCAGTTCCTCCGTCACTCGCACCCCAGCCTGGCTCCTCACCTGTCGCCCTGCCATCTAGTTGGGTGTTTATCAAGGCCCGATAAGCCGGAGGCTAAGGCTAATGGCAGGCGTAACTTCGGCGTTTCACTTCTGACACCAAATGTAGCATCTCGCAGGACACAAGGAGGGCAACCTTGAGTGCTGACGAATAGTCGCTTTTTTATTAACTCCACACAACCGGTTACTGTTGGCCGTAACCACGCCAAAACAACAGCCCAACAACACCAAGAAAAAAGATTAACAACCTGCTAACACCCTCTGTAGCTCAAATCCCCTCCACACTTCTCTCCCTCCCGCTCTCACACCTCTTAACCCCTGAAGCTCCACACCCATCAAGGAACCATAACAATTTAGAACATCATAACATGCCAAGTGAAGGATCACTACAGTACTTTACCAACTGTTACTCTGTTTAAACATGTCCACTGGCAACTTGTTTAGGACTTGAAAACACAAAGTCTAGGATCTGGATTTGACTCAGTTACTTTAGAGATTTAACTGTGACGACCGTGTCCTACCTCTGCTGAGCAGCGCTCCCCGTCAGCACGAAAACACACAGAGACATTTTCTGCAAAGACAGTTTGAAACATAAATGTTATGAGTACAGACCTGTGACTACTTGTAACAGTAGTACAAGTACTACTAACCTGGTCAAAATTAGTAGTCCCCAAACGTCTGCAGTATGTGCAGTACTACTGTAGCAGTCGTAGTTTTGATTCAGTCAAACAGCTGCAGTTCAGGTCAGAATACTGTGTTTTTATCCTGAACATTTTAAAAGGATGGGACTGTATTAAGCTGAGTGACTACCAGCCCATTTTAACCAGTCTAACCAGTCTTTTATCAGACAGGAAACAAACCTCTGACATTATTGGCTCCTTGTAATCAAAGTAAATCCTGTGTCTGAGTTCATCTCATCACAGCTGCATTTCCCTGCATCACAGTGGAACAACATTCCTTCACCTCAGTGTTGTTCCTTCTCTGGGTTGTTGTTGATGCAGGAGCCCTTCTCAGGTGGGTGTGATTCTGCAACCAGCAGGTGGCGCCACCTGGTTCAGTGAGGACTGTTCTCAGGTAGTACTCAAGCTCGGGTGTCCTGTTGAGAACAACAGGTGAGCTGTGTTCACCTGGTGGCTCCGTTTGACCGCCGCTCTGCACAGGTCCGGACTCTCACTCTTCGTCATAGTGTCCAACCAGACTACAGAGAGTTTAATAATGATATGTTCCTGAATCTGCACATTCCCCTTTGCAGCTACAGTGAATTCATCTTGTGGATTTGCTGTTTCTCCAAACTTGTGCTGCTCTGGCTGCTGTCGCTTCAGGGCTTCATTCACATGTCAGTCACCATTTGTTCTTATCTGTAACAGAAACTGGGAACACTGGGTTCTAGGACAAACCAAGACCAGCAGGAGTTCACCATGTCCAGTAATGATGCTCCTGGACCAGCTCTGAAAACCTTTAAGGTCCTTCTGTGAACTACTCTTTGTGACACAGTTATACATGTGGATTTTTGATTTTTTCTTTAATAACAACGTTTTTGTTGTCTAACTGGCTGCGAGCAGCCTCACACAGCGACCTCCCCTCAACCTGAAAGAAATGTCTCATTTTTATCTATTTATGTTTGTTGTTTCTCAAGGCTCCTGCTGTATATTTGTAAATCATTTTACTCAAATTATTTTATTTTGTAGCAGTATTTTTATAACAAAAGTTAGCAAACTCTGATTTTACTAAAATAAGCAAAACATGATATGAAATAGACAATATAATCAAATGTTACATAAGCTACATTTTTATCAAATGAAGTCTTGACTCAAATTACAAAATCTTTAATTACACAAAACTAAAATCTCACAGAACAAAATGTAGCTACTTAAACATGAAATAAACAAAATATTTGAGCAACATTTTGAGTGCGAGACTTTTACTTGTAACTTAGTATTTGTAGTATTTGTACCTGAAGTAAGGCGTCTTCTTCGGCCGCTCGTTTAGCTGCTGCAGAGCGGGTCCTCCAGGGGCAGGCGGCACTGTCGCCTCCTGTTTGGCGTTGCCATGGAAACGCAGCACGACCGTCTGTTGTGTGTGGTGTTTTAACGGCAGGTCGTCAATCGTACCTATAAGAAACCGAAAGGTATCGTCACCTGAAGATGCAGCTCAACCGGCGGAGCGGAGGTCGGGAGGCCACGGGTAACACTCGGCACAAAACGGTAGCGTCTCACTGAGTTCGGGTTTATCCCGCTTTATGGCGGAATACACGAACGATCGGCGTAAAGAAACGTCCGGACTAAAGTCATGCCACACCGGAGTATGGTTTCTCTTCGGTTGGAGGAAATTCAGATTCATTACCGGTTCTCCCCTGGAACACGGACCGGATGTAATAAAAATATACACACATTTAATATTCAACAGTTTTATGTTCATCTTTAATGTTTCTGATGTTTGTTGTATGAGACATGTCAGCTGTGCCTCTCTGGGTCTAACTGGCTCCTCACGCACAGCACGTATCGCACGTGCGTGCGCACTGTACACTCGGTGTGCTGTGGTTCTGCCGTGCACGGGACGCCCACAGTGTGTGTTGTGTGTCCATATTAATGCTGTTTTGTTTTGTGTATTTGTGTTTTCACTGCTGCAGTCAAACAGAGCTTCAACATGGTGTCTCACCTCACATACAGTGCCTTGCGAAAGTATTCAACCCCCTTGAACTTTGCGACCTTTTGCCACATTTCAGGCTTCAAACATAAAGATATAAAACTGTAATTTTTTGTGAAGAATCAACAACAAGTGGGACACAATCATGAAGTGGAACGAAATTTATTGGATATTTCAAACTTTTTTAACAAATAAAAAACTGAAAAATTGGGCGTGCAAAATTATTCAACCCCCTTAAGTTAATACGTTGTAGCGCCACCTTTTGCTGCGATTACAGCTGTAAGTCACTTGGGGTATGTCTCTATCAGTTTTGCACATCGAGAGACTGAAATTTTTGCCCATTCCGCCTTGCAAAACAGCTCGAGCTCAGTGAGGTTGGATGGAGAGCGTTTGTGAACAGCACCAATCGAGAATTTGTGGAAAGAACTGAAAACTGCTGTTCACAAACGCTCTCCATCCAATCTCACTGAGCTCGAGCTGTTTTGCAAGGAGGCATGGGCAAAAATTTCAGTCTCTCGATGTGCAAAACTGATAGAGACATACCCCAAGCGACTTACAGCTGTAATCGCAGCAAAAGGTGGCGCTACAAAGTATTAACTTAAGGGGGCTGAATAATTTTGCACGCCCAATTTTTCAGTTTTTTTATTTGTTAAAAAAGTTTGAAATATCCAATAAATTTCGTTCCACTTCATGATTGTGTCCCACTTGTTGTTGATTCTTCACAAAAAATTACAGTTTTATATCTTTATGTTTGAAGCCTGAAATGTGGCAAAAGGTCGCAAAGTTCAAGGGGGCCGAATACTTTCGCAAGGCACTGTATATCTTTGATATAATTCTCTTCCTTTTGATTTTTAAAACATTTCTGAGTGTTTTTGTTAACCTGCCGTTTTGCTGATCAGAGGTAGAGGAAGTAATCGGATACTTGGGTAGAAGCATTAACACCACATCGTAGTATTAAAGTCAAACTGTGTGAGTATCATCAGGACAAAATCAGAACTTGTTAAAAGTAGAATCAGTCAAAGCAGATGAGTGTAGCTCGGTGCCTGATATGAGGAGACTGTTGATGGAGCCGGTGTCAACTGGTTCACACTTCACTGCAACTGATGGCTGGTTTGTAAAAGATCAGGAAACAGTGAGAGCTGTGGAGACGGGTCCCACCTTTGGTTCTGTCGTTAAGATGATTCATTAATCATAAGACGCAGCATCACATCCTTATTTCTGAGAAGCTGGAACCATGAACTGTTTCACGCGTTTCTATGAAGAACGGCTTAAAAGAGTCAGAGGTTAATTTTCTCTCAATCAACTGATCCAGTAATCAACGGGACATTTTTACTGTTTGATAGTTTAAATTACAAAGCAGCAAATTTTATCAGCTCTTCATATGTTTCACTTTGTAAAGTAACATGAATCAGTCTGTGATAGTTTCCTCTGAAACAATCTGCAAAAGTACTGCAGAAGTATAAACTGTAGCATAAAGAGAAAGTTCCCAGTGTACCTCACTACACACGTCAGTGTACCTCAGTAAACATCCCAGTGTACCTGACGTACACTACTGCACTGGAATCCATTACTCAGCACAGACAAACCCGCCCGATGCCTCAGATCTTCAGGTCTAAATGTATCATTTCTCTGTCGAGCAGAGAGCGAAGTTTCCGTCATCACAGCTCGCAAACCACCTGATCCTGGAGAGACAGAAACAGGATGCCGCCCGAGACGAGGTCCTGGAGTTCACCAGGTACCAGCAGACCTGTGACACCAAGAACTTGTGGCTGCAAACCTCAGAACGCCACTTCCTGAGAAGGACAGTCCAGAGACACGTCCAGGCTGCTGTGGGACAGCACGAGTCCAGCGTTGAGGAGCGGAGGGACAGGATTCCCCTTTGTCTTTTCATTCCGGGGTGGGAGGAGGCCGAGCACACTCCCTCACTTAAGGGCACTTCTCAGCTACTGGGTTCAGTTTTCTGCTGAGTTGTACTTGTATTCCAGCACAGCTCAGAGGGAAACCATGTACTTTTACTTCACCACATTTATTTAACCAATGTGGTTACTGGCTTCTTTAAACAGTAATGTTTTACCTTTAAAACACGATAAATATCTGAAATGCAAACTTTTTAAATATTAAAGCAGTGATTTATAATCTTTGGTCTCGTGGCCCTGTAAATACTTGGGTACTTTTACCCCTGGTGCTTCAGCTGAGTACTTCAGTACTTTTGTTTGACACAGTCCATGTAACAGAGCAGAGCGCCTCCGGTGAATGACGTGCGCCCCGGTTCCTCCCCCAGGCTCCGTGTGCTGCTGGAGGCCGAGGAGCAGCAGCACCTGCAGGAGCTGGAGGACAAGAAGGAGGCAATGGTGGAGAGACAAGCCAAGATGAGAGAGAAGGCCAAAGCTCTGAGAGGGAGGAGAGAGAGCGAACAGCAGCAGCTGATCTCAGACAAGCTGGAGCTTGTCAGGTGAAGCTGTTCTTCCTTAATGCAGCCTTGACTCCAGTGGAAGCAGGTGTAGTGTCACACTGCAGCAGTACTCCAGCTGAAGTACAACCAGTACTTTGATGCTTAGTCACTGATCCAGGGCATAGTGTCAGCCCTTTGCTGTATAGCTCTCTGTGGGTTCTGACTGCTGGACCCTAACCTGCTGGGCCTCAGTCCGCTGGGCCTCAGGCTGCTAGGCTTCAGCTTGCGCCTTCATTGACCCAGTGACTGTTGAATGCAGTTGTTAGTTGCAGCCTTAAAATCTGTAGTGTGTGTACTTGTACCTACAAAACTGCAGTACCTGAGTAGAGAAGGAGAGAACGGTCCCTCCAGGGCCACAGGACAGTGAAAACAAAACATCTAGACACAGAACATCAGCAGGACATTGACTGACAGTGTATGTGGTTTGTCCCACTGAGAGAAGTCAGCTGTTTGCTCAGTGTAGTGATTACGCAGAGGAGCCCCTGGTAAACCTCTATGTACCCCAGATGTTTCTACACACAGATGTTCAGCCCACAGTGTTGATGTTTACCATTAACTTGCTGTTGTCAGGGAGCAGTGTGAGGAGCTGTGGACCGTGGAGAGCAGGTGCCACAAGCAGCAGGTGAGCGTGGAGCGAGCGGCTCAGGGGAGAAGCCAGCAGGAGCAGCGGCGACTGCAGCGGCAGGAAGACCTGCTGTTTGATGAGCTGTGGGAGGCTGACCGCCAAGCCAAAGAGGAGTGGGAGGTGCGATGAGCACAGAGGCAGCAGCAGAGGAACCTGGAGCAGCTGAAGGTCCTGTAGGCCCAGATGGAGGCGACCGAGCTGCAGAGAGTCAAGGAGAAGGAGCTGAGGGAGGAGGAGGCTCGCCTCACGGTCTGTATCACTCTCTGTACATCACACAGCTCGCTAATGAAGCTGGTCACACACTGGAGGACCAATAGAGGCACAGTGCTGATGCCATGTTTCTGTTCACTGATTCACACAGAAAACTCAAGCACCCAAAGTTGCTTAAAGGCAGTGGGTCAGCTTGAGAGCTAAAACTTCAGCTTGAGTCAGGAGTCCCTGAATAAGTTAAAGGCTCATTCCATTGATTTAACACATAAGCTCAAGAAGTCTTGTTTTCCCTGTGGTGTTGTGCAGCTGCAGCAGCAGGAGGTGCAGTGCATGCAGAAGCAGCGAGAGCACAAACTGCAGGCTCAGTAGGCCACCCGGTGGCAGCTGGAAAGGTGTTTCCAGCTGAAGATGCAGCGTCTGGCCCGAGAGCAGCAGGAAGAGCTGCAGCTGGATATGAGCATCCTTCAGCAGCTGCTCCATCAGGAAACTGAACAGAGGCAGGAGGCTGCTCAGAGGAAGGTAAACACACCTGAGCCAAATTCCAGCTTTACCTGCAGGAAGGGTTCTGAGCACAGTGTGGTGTTTGTCCCAGTGTCAGCCCTGAGCTCTTCTTCTTCATCATCTCAACTGACAGGTAATCAGTGGCACTAGGCTTTGTTATGTAAGAGTGATCTGCAGGTACAAGTGTCCCAGTGGAGCAGTACACTAAAACATACAGCTTCAGTTAAGGAGCAAGAACATCAGAACAACTCATGTAATGAAACAAACTGGTGATGGACATAATAATAACATTATCTTTAATCTCTCTAAATCCAGTAACGGAGACTTTTCTCCTTGTCGACACATTTGTGCTGTTGACAGTGATGCTGTAGTGTCTTAGAGTGGTGCAGTGGAAACACAGCATCCTTCATGTTGGAGCAGTACTGCAGTACATGTAGTTACTACTGCCGGCCAGTAGGTGGCCCCAGACTGCTACACAATACCCAGTGTTTGGTCTGTTGTTTACAACCACTGAAAGGTGTTGGTTCAACTGTACGATTAGTTTGGGGCACACACCTGGGGTGGACAAAATAATAGGAACACAAAAAGGAAACCATTTTGATGAAACAGGATTTATTACAGACCTGATCCATTAGACTGACCTCGTTTATCTGAGGCAGCCTTTTGCAGGTAAAACCAAATATATTCAAACATGTATTAACAGAGCAGTCAGTCTGCATTCAGACATGGTGAATCCAAACTACAGCCACCCAACTTTTTTTTTCAGTCAAATCTCATTGTGCTCTGCTGTTGGACCAGCATCACCTGCACAGTGTGTCGTTCTGAGAGCTGAACAACAGTGACAAAGTGACAGTGTCCTGACGGGTGTAAACCCCCTCCCTGAAGCAAACGGCTCTCTGTTTAGACGCCGCTGTGCCACATGGTCGATGCTGACAGGCTGAACCCCGCTGCCTGTGTCGTCTCAGGCAGAGCTGCATGAAGAGCAGCAGAGGTACCGGCAGTATCTGTCTGAGGAGCTGCAGAAGCAGAGGAGAGAGGAGGAGGAGACGGAGCAGCTGATCGAGGAGAAACTGAAGAAGACCTGGACCAAGAGAGAGCAGCAGAGCTGCCTGCAGCGAGAGGCCAGAAACCACCTGATGAAGGAGGTGATGGAAGCTCGACACCTGCAGATCCAGCACAAACGTAAGAAAACCAGACTGTCACAGATCAACACAGGAGGAGGGTTTATACACTTTCACTCCTCACCAGGAGCTTAGTGGTCAGTCTGCTGATATTCTATTTTTTTCTTTGTACACAGACTCAAACCAATACGTGTCTCCTCCCTCTGAGCCACAGCTCCATTGTGTCCAGACACCAGTAAACCCAGTGGTGGCCACACTGCCGCACTGGTCCGATACATACTGTCCTGGTGTCACTAGATACCAAATGTGAATTAGTCCCCAACAGATACACCATTTCCTCTTGATGATAAAACTACAGTGAGCAGATGTTGCTTTTAAAATTAAACTATGTGCTTGTGAGGCCATTTAAAAGATTTACGTCTTCAGTAAGAACCAGCTTGGACAGGAAGTCGGAGTGTGTTGAGGAACAGACAGACACACCGTTGGTCTGAGTCTGCACATGAAGGGCAGAGCTGCAACTAATACCTTTCTGTCAGTGTTTATGAGTCAATCAATCTGCTGATTATTTTACTAATTAACTGTTCAGTTGCCAAGCTGACAGGTGTGTGCACGTGCAGGCCATAGGGATTCAGTTACTGTAGTCTGATCTGAGCAGTCACCAGCTCAGCCGGCAGTCGGAGCCACTGTGACACAGCTCAGGGAGGAGGGAGACTAAGCTTTGTGGAGTCCTTCTACTGGGATTCGTGACTCAGTCCGAACATAGACATGAAACATGGTTTTAGTTCGAGTCAGTGTGACTTTACAGGGTGGACATCACAGTCGCTGCCTGAGTGTCCTCCTGCTTTTAACCTCTCCTCAGTATCACTGTGATCCAGGGACAGTGGTGTGCACGTCCACGGGCACATGGCAGCTGGTCACTGCTCGGTTACATACTGTTAGTGGGGACGTGAACAGATACAGGCTGAAAACAGGTTGTGCAGTAGCCTGCACCGGGTCGGGGTGAGTGTATCCTGAACAGGTGTACGACAAAACGACAACAATGGGAGTATCTGTGTGTGTGTGTGTGTGTGTCCTGCAGTGAAGCTGAACATGCAGAAATGAGCGGAGCTGGCCAGAGAGAGGGAGGAGCTGAACAGACTGGTGGAGGAGAGCAGAGTGAAGGACGAGGAGGAGAAGAGACGGTACGTCACCTGACATCCACACTTTCCCTGTTCATGTGCCAGAGTCACACTGACCCTGTCTGTGGCCCCCCCAGGCAGAGAACAACCTGCGAGGCCTACCAGGCGGACCTCAGGGCCCAGATCAGGCACCGGCAGCAGCTCTGGAGAGAGGGCAGAGCTCAGGCTCAGAGGGAGAGTCAGCAGGGTCTGATCCTGCAGCTGCTCTACGACCAGAAGAAAGACGAGATCCTGTCCAGACCCTCGTCTCACACTATTGCTCCCCCCATCCGTTCAGGAGAGCACAGGGATCCAGGTCTGCCCCCCAGCACAGACTCACATAGTCCACCTGCACAGGGAAGAGTCCTCCTCGGACAACCACATGAATGTAAAGAGAAATAAAAGTCTGTTTACACTGTGGTCTCTGTCTTCGTCTGCTCACTGACTGATGTGAACACGTCTCATTCCACTGGGTACGTTCGGTTTCAGGCTGAGGGCCCCACTAAGGCCTCTGTAGACAGTGTCTCCTCACTGTCCAGCTGTTTGAATCCAGGAGCTGAGTCTCCTCTCAGTGACTTTAATAAGCAGCAGTCAGTGCTTTGCCCCAGGTTTTGTCTTTCAGGCTACACACAGACTTCTCTGCTGTAGTCCTATGCAGCCTGACCAATCGACCTGCAGACATAACTCAGGGCTGAAAATTATTAGCACCTGTCCCCTTCAACAGCATTTAGGTCGTGTTTCAGTGAACTCGGTGAGTAAACCAGGATCAGAGCATCCTAGTTTCCTCAGCACCAGACAGAAGGAGGTGTCTGTCTGTCCCCAGCTGCTCTGCCACCAACAGACTGATTATTGATCGGAGTGAAAAGGTGGAAACATAAGGCCTGAGGACGTCTGACAGGTTGTTATTTACCAATCAGCCACATCATTTATTTATTTATATAAAATCCTCACTGTCACCCGACCCCTGGCACTTGACCTCACACTGCACTCAGAGCTGAAAGCCAGGCGCCCCGTGTCCTCGGCCTGTTGGCTAAACCAGTGTTTACTGAAGGAAGGGAGGTAGCCATGTTGCTTAAAGTCTGAGTGTTTGATTATGAAGGAATCACCCAGAAAAACCATAGTAATCCCTGGATCCCAGCAGGAGCGTGGCTGGCCTGATGTCGTTTCAGTGTCACTCAGTGCATGCTGTTTGTTTTCACAGCTTCGTCCCGACCGAGCAGCAAGGCCTCGTCACTGCACTGACACACTGTACCTTGTGCTGTGTATCAGCTGTAGGCGCAAATACTTCTCAGAGGAGACGTTTACTCACAGAACATGTGAGGAAGCTGCTTCTCCTCTTAGTGTCTCTACATGATTATAGGCCTGAGAAGTGTTATTAAGCTCCAGACTCAGTCATGTTGTAAGGGAAACTGTTGCACAGCTATATCTACACACCAGCCAGCTGCTAGCACACCATCCTTACTTCATACCAGGATACGCCAACACCTCAGGCCAGTCGAACCTGACCGGCGAGCACCTGCAGCCCGTGGCCCAGAGGGAAATCCACCTGCACACCTTAAATCAAAGTGCTGTCAAACACCTGCATTGTGCCTGTGCACATTTTTCTGTCAGTTCATTTACATGCAGCATGTTGTTCAGAGAGAAGGGAGGTTTCTATAGCAGAGCATCACCTGAGTTCTCCCATCTTGTCCTGATGGGAACAGCAGGTCCAAGCAACATGTCACCACAATCCATCCAACATCTGGCTTGTTCCAGTCTGATGTCACTGATGACTGCAGAAATGCTTCCACGTGCACAGATCAGTGTGCACAGTGTGGGGCTGAAAGCTCTCTGCTGCTCCCATGCACTTATTTTTTGCTTGCTGCCTCCACAGCAGTGGTAGATCAGTCCTGCCTGTGCTGGGTGGACTGGCAGCAGGTAAACAGCTCATTCCAGCAGAAGGAGTGGTCTGGGAGTGGACTCGGCCACTGATGTCAGAATCACAGTTACGCTCAGACAGGTCTGAGACAGGTGGCTTCCCACAGTCAGTCCCAGGTGAGTGGCTGCAGCACAGTGTGTTCTGGAGCTGAGCAGGGCCTTTCCCTGCATGTGTGGACCCACTGAGCAGCCCGAGAGGATGACCGGCCACTACAACCCTTACTCCAAGGAAATGGTTTTTATCATGGATAATAACCTGACTGTGAGACGCTTTCTGGGTTAATGTTCAGAAACTCTTGGCCTGTTCCATGTTACACAATGTCTCAGATAAGACTCGTCTCCTCGGACGATGTGTTAGTGTGTCAGATGTTGGAGGCGTCAGATTCAGACACTGCACCATGTAAAAGGGCTCAACATGCCTCATTACAAGTAAAATGTGTTCGTAATGTTGTTAGATAGATACTTTATTACAGACTCAAGGTCTGTATAAATGCTAAAAAAACAAACCATGAAACAAGCAGCAATAAATAACAATAAAAAGACAACAACAAGAACAACCAATAAACAACTACCCTTTTAAAAGGCAGGTATACCAGTGTTTCCAAAGTACTGAAGTATCTCACATGTCACTATATGCAATATTAGTCAGCAATAAAACAATGTTGTTTCCAGAACTATTCAAATGACAAAAACATTTATACATTAAATTTCTTAAAACTGCAGATAGTGTAATCTGCGTGAAGTTGGCCCCCCACCCAACGCAAAATAAGGCCAAAATGGTGTCATCCGTTTGTGCTTCGTTTGTGCTGGTTTGTGCTGCAAAAAGCTTTGTTTGTGCTGTTACGGTATTTGAGATATTAAACAATATCTTTAGGAGTCATCCACAGGCCACTCAGCCCCCCAGATAGCTCCAAATTGGACAAAAGTGGTGTCGTTCGTTTGTGCTTCGTTTGTGCTGGTTTGTGCTGCAAAAGGTTTCGTTTGTGCTGTTACAGTATTTGAGATATTACAGATTTCAATTTCTGATGACGTCACTCAGCCCCCCAAATAGCTCCAAATAGGATAAAAGTGGTGTTGTTCGTTTGTGCTTCGTTTGTGCTGGTTTGTGCTGCAAAAAGCTTCGTTTGTGCTGTTACGGTATTTGAGATATTACAGCTTTCATTCTTTGACTCATAAAATACATTTTGATATTCTGGCAGCATATTTTCACACAACAGGTCCAAAACACTGTAGTATTTTATGATCTTTTCCACCAATGCGACTTGACATTGCAATGAAATAAAAAAAAATAAAATAAACAAAGTTTTCCTGGTTTATTTTTTTACAAGGAGATGCACTTAATGTTACCAGTAGGGGGCGCCCAGAAGGGTTAAGTCAGCTTAAGATACACCTGTAGAAGAAATAGGGTAACATACTTTATCCGCATGGTGTTTCTCAGTGCTGCTACAACATCAAAAATGGCAACATAGCCACTCCTAATGCCAGTTTATGGACAGAGCTGAGTGAGCACCTGGAAAATAAGATCTCTGCAAAGGCCCTGTACACTTTTGTTAAATTAAACAGACACAATGGCTGGTCGGTGTTAGGGTTCAGTGATCCTGAAACTAATGATGACACAGATTCTGAGACAGGTTCCCTTTCTCCTGGACTAAAAGCTTCTCATGCTTTCCAGCTTGAAATTCCATTTGAGAAATGGAAGGAATTTGTTCCAGAAAACACTGAATATAAAGACAAGTACTCTCCAACTCAAAAGAGAGATTACACAGTTTTGAAACCTGGCTCCTGGACTCATATTGTGAATGACCAGATTTGGAAGGCAATGAAAAGTACATGTACATTTGTATTTAAAAGAGCCAAGGTGTATCCATCAGCCACGAGTAATTACATTGTTATCAGAGGCTATTGTAAGGAGTGTCATGGACATCTTAGTATGACATGCAAGAGAGAGCC